TACACCCATTCCTGAGCATGGAAGAACATGAAAGTTAAATTCAAATTAATCTGCACTGACATGCAGCAATCTAGAATGACTTGAGAAGTCACAGGCTAAAGAGAAAAAATAATGGGATTAATCCTGCATGTCTTACCTACCCAAGTAGCTCCTTCTCTTGCAATTAGTTACATTGGGACAGCAGGTCTCTTTGCTTGTACAGAGCCTGTGAATATAGGGCCCTCTGTAGCAGAGCAAGAGCTGAGTTCCCAGGGCTAATGTCTACTGCTGATTTGTTTCTCAATAAAATAAATACACTGCAGCAAGTGATAAACATGTCAAATTGCTTTTGAGCTTGAGGGAAATAAACTGGGAGAATTTAACAACTAATTATTCCCAAAAGGAAAGTACCACAAGAGTAAGAGACATGGTGGAGTGGCCATGTGAATCCTAGTGAGCCTGACTTTGTGGAACTCGGCTAGCTAGCCAGGCTGCAGAGGGTAACTATCACAAACCAGAGTTTATATAGTACATTTCTTCTTCATGTTTGAGATCAATAAATAAATTCTGTCTAAACACAGAATTTACTTACCCAAACCTTTAGATAGCTAAAATTAAATATCTGGGTTGACACAGTTCCCAAACTCAAAATATGCAATTTCTGAAAACAAATTCTACCCTAACACCTGATCCAAGACACAGGGAATGAATCACATACTGGAGATCTGTCTCCCCTGACTGCAGAGGGTGATTAGATATCCAGCTATGGGACAGCTAACATAAGTGAATCCACAGAGCAAATCATTCCAAGAAGCAGGCTGAGATATAACATACATCTCCTCTCTTACAAATTTGCCAAATTAGCCTACACAGTGACCAACCATTCATGACCACAGAGGCAGTAGCTTGCAAAGATGAGCGACCAACGTCTTAGTACAGATGCCTTAGTAGTCATCCACTGATCTTAACTAAGAATTCAGCTGGTCCAGAAATGAGCTGTGTTTACAACTTTAACTTAGATCTACTCCATCTAGTCACTGCATGTAATCTATTATTTCTGTTTAGGTACCAAGGGGGCCAGGGGGAAGCAAGTTCATTTCATAGACTACATAGTCCATCATATTTTAAAATACTGCTGGAATGCAAACATCATCTGACTAAAACTAGGAAGGCTGAAAAATAATAAATGCCACTGCACAATAAGACAAGATGCCATGCATGAGGTGTTTCAAGTGGTATCAGTTTACCCATAGCATAGCTTTTCAAGAAGAAGGCTCTACTCATAACCTCTGACAACTGAAAGACATGCTGCAGAAAACAATAAATTGCTCCCTTCTTGCCAGCGTTTGCGTCTTGTCATTGTTACAAGCTAACTAACTGTCTAAGAGTATCCTCCCTGCTCACATGATCTTCCAACTGCACATGCAACTCAGGGCAGTTTTGTAGTGACAGAGCCAATGCACAGTGCATTATTAAGAAGAATGCCGTGCTGTGGTCTGTCTGAAGCACTCTTGTGTTGATTTGAATAAAATGAGAGTGTTTCAGGTTTTCTGAACCAGTGTGTGCCTTGTGAACTCAAGAGAACATACTATTCACGCACATAATTTATCTCAACAAATATTTCCTCTTATTTGCAAACTCAAAAGGAAGCCGAAACTAAGCTTCTCTCAGGGGGTTGCCTGCTAGACATATGCCTCCTACTAAAGATTTGGGGTGGGGAGAATCTCTAGTGCTGCCAGGTAGCACTGAGATGTTAACACTACCCCAACCACCACAACACACTGCCACAAGAAAGCATGCAGGTCATCATCACTGTAAAAAGGTAAAGTGATTTGACCAAAACCATCCTGCAAATGGTGACAGGCCAGAAGCCAAGAATTCACAGTTCCCAGGCTTTAAGCTCAAGATCCAGCATCATGCTTCCACTACACATAGTATTTCTTTCTGTGGTCCACAGTGCCCATCTAGACTGCAGTACTGCCAATCCTGCCCCAAACTGCCTACCACACAAGTCACTATACAGATGCAGACTCTTGCACAGCACACCCATAGATAAAACTACCTAAATAACATGAGGAAAGAAGGAAGCAGAGAAGGATCATACAGGCAGAGCAGGCACACATGCTCTTATTCCATTTCCAGTACCCAGAAGAGTGCAGTGAAATTACTATCTTTCAACGTTTGCAGAAGTGGGAACACATAGCAAAGTAAGATATGCAATACGGCAGGTACATACTTGTGCATTCAGACTTTTTCATTCTTGGCCAATACCAGTACCAGTACTTCCCTTTCCACGCTGTTCTTTCCAAATACAAGCCACGCATACTTTCATTCTCTATGAACTTCTCTTATCTGTAAATCTCTTTTCAATCTATTGCTTTTCTTGCTATGAAAATGTCTTTTCAAAAACATACTTTGAAAAGCCTTTTATATGAAAGCACCTCTTATTCCTTCTCATTTCCAGGACACTTAATAAAATATTACAAGACTGCCATTTATATGCTAAAGGAATTCCCAGACAGCATCTCAAACAATTCAATGAGAAAACAAAATTAAATATTAGCATAACCCCATGTGTAAAATACAGCATAAAATAAAGCTTTCTGGTTTTTGCAGGATATCCTATGGAATGCAATTCTATTACCCATGCTAATTTCATGCCCATTCACCATTGCAGAACATCAGAGTTATTGACACTTTTCTCCAACATAAAAAAGTGGTCCAATAATAGCAAACTATGGGTAGCCCTTAGAACACTGGCCAGAACCATTATGGAGCTGTTTTACCCAATCTGTGGCAATGAATCTCAAAACTGACCTTTAAGCTCTTCTTAATCCCATCCAGTTGGGATATTCCTTCCAAAGACTTCAAATGAGTTTCGCACCATGACCGAGAATACACAGCATCCCACAGTGGTAAGCAAAACCTGATTAAAATAATATCTTATTCAGCGATCTCTGACACAGAAATTCCTTGTGAGCCCCAGGTATTACAATTTGGCAAGTAAAAGCATGGAAAATCCACTCTGGGGTAATGATCTGATAAACATTTATTTATCTTTAAAAGTAAGTGGTTTTACTAAGGGATGAGAACTTCATAAAGTTTATTTTTTTCCCTTAAATACATTTCAGTACTTAGTAATAAACTGCTCACTTGATTATTTTTAGAAGACTTTCAACTTTCATACAGATGTTATTCAAAGAAAACATCTTCTGGTTTTGTTTACGCCTAGTCACAAAAATTTCATGCTCTAATCCATGCTATACTCTCCTCTGATTTAAGTATACCTTTCTCTGCTACTACAAGAGAAGAACCACTGACCAAAGAAACATGCCAATATGGACATTGTTATTTTCCCTGAAAAAAGGAGTATTTGAACTTCACACCAACAAACTCAAAGGAGTTATGCTCCATCCTCATACGGAAAGTCAATCAACTTCACATATCTAACTTTTAACAGTACCTTTTGAAAAATCCCTGCCTTCAAACATGCTTCCACAGTGCACTCCAATGGCACACAGACAAAAATATATTTCAGTCTTAAAATCCATTTCAGGAATCAAGAAGAAACTTAAGGACTGCAGGAGAGAACTTTAAATTTGCAGAAGCTCCTGTATGTAACTCATCCTCCAGGAAAAAAAAAAAAAAAAGTAGTATTTCACTAATTTACCCAAGATGACAAGACTATCTGAGAAATGAAGGCATACGCAAACTGAATGCGGATGTGTCATATTTAAAAAAAATATTAACACAAGTCACAGGAAAGTAGCTGGGCTTTAATAGCAATGCAAACCTATGAGTATTGATAAACTGAGGATGCCAAATTCACACAGGATTAGCCTGCTCCACCTTCCTTCATACTTTCAGAAGACAAGTTGGCCGAAACAGCCTGGAAGCGAGAGTTTTTTGCTCTAGTGATAGGTATCCATTGCCAGATGGTTTGCTCTCCCTTTTCAGATTTGGGAGACTAGAACTAAGATGTGAACAAACAGTAGAGGTTATGCAGAAGTAACGGATTATGGTCCCTTTAAATTTTGAGAGATCTGAGGGTAGAACCTACCCACACCCTCAACCTTCTTACTACCCAACCCACTTAGCAGACCGATGGAATGACTACATGACGCTACACCAGTGATGAAAATATAAAGGAAGTCACCAAAGATCCCCCAGCAAAGTCATGTAAAATCCCAGACTCCCAGGAAGTAATCATATTCTCCCGCACCACTTACCCACTTCAACCCTTTTCCCACAGCCCCGTTAAAAGGAGATCAAATTAAAAAAAGGCATTACACAAACGAGAGACTGCCCCAGTTACAATTCCAAGTGGCTCCCATCACTACAGCAGCACTAAGGGAAAACCTTAAGCACACGCGGACAGCACACAGACTCTCAGCACGGATTAGCAGTCTGGCTTACTGGCGGAGAAGAACAAAAATTCCCCTCACAGCAACCCATTTTGGAAAAGAAAAACAACAAACACAAAACAAAGACGGTAACAGCAAGCTGGGAAGAAGCTCCCTGCCCTTCGCCCTCCACGCGGACCCCCTACTTCAAGACACAGCCAGGCACGCAGCTGGGGTCAGGTTTATTACAGCACCAGGCCGACCCCAGCCCGGCTGCTCGGTCGGGCCGGGCCGCCCCGAAGCCCTCCGCCGCCCGGCTCGCCCCGGCACCCCGGCGCCCACAGACCCCTCTCCTCTGGGGGGGACGACGGACACGCGACTTCCCGCCCCCTGCAAAGGCCGCCAAGAGAGGCGCAGGAAGAGGAGAAGGAGGGCGGGGAGCGGGGCAGGTCATCGCCCCCAGCCGCCCCTCTCGCCAGGCACCGGGCAGGGACCGCTGGCACTCCCACACGCACCGCAGCCTCCGCACAGCCCCCGGCTCTTCCGGGCTGAAGCATGGCTCTCCCCGCGCGACTGGAAAGTCACCCGTAGGCACAACAAGCGCGGTGGGGGGGTGCGATGGAGACCGCAAGCGGAGTGCTAGGGAGGGGAGGGAAAGCAAGCGGGTTAAAGTGGTACCTTGGATGTGCTGCTTGATGACATTTTCCAAATGGTCCAGCCTTTCTATAATCCTTAAAGTGTCCCCTTTGTCTTCCTCTAACTTTTTTTCTGAGATCGGCTCCTGCACTTTCACATAAACACTGGCAATGTAGTTGGTGACCCAGCCCACGTACAGCAGGCAGACGATGTTAGTCATTCCACTCAAAATCACGCAAGTGGACACTAAAGTTTTGGTTTTCCTGGTGCACACCATCCTGAGATCCCTCCATATAGCTCCAAAAAAACCTGTGATCCAGAAAACAAAAATAAACTGCGATGAAAATAAATCCTTTCCCTCCTTTCCCCGAAATGGAGACCACTCGGAAGTCAGTAAATTTCCATGCAAAAAAGTTCTCTAATCCACAGAATAGAAATATTTGTCGCCTACCTAGAAGGAGAGGTGGGGGTAGGGAGGGCTGATAATTAGAATCCTGGGCTTTAGGACATTAAAATAGCTGAAACTTTGCGAGAGCCGCGCCGGCAGCAGCCCAGCACGGCGCCCCGCTGCCTTCAGGCGCCGCCTCCCGCCGCGGGCATCAGGGCCACGGGCAGCGCGGGGCCGGAGTGCCGCAAACTTTGTTCCCCGCGCCGCCGCCACCGCCGCTGCCCATCACGGCCGGGCAGCGCTCCGCAATCAGACCCGGGAGCCGGCAGCCGGCGGGCGGGGCTGCTCGGCCGCGGAATGACAGCGCGCTCCTCCAATGGGCGGCCCGCTCCGGCTGCTGCTAGAGCCGTATGGCCCCACCTGCTCCTCGCGCACGCTCTTCCCTCCTTCCCTCCCTGCCTATTACCATAGCGGGCTGCAAAGGATTTCCACCCTGTATGGGAAGAGGCAGGAGGCGGTTCCCGATTGCTGCCGGGTGCACGCTCCGCTGCATGGCTAGGGAGCGCAGCCGGTATCGTTAAAATAGATGCTCACGCGGAAAGTCATCCACTGCCTGGAGCGGTGAACACGGAGACGTGCCCTTGGCTCAACGGAGCCTGCGACCACCTCCTATTACAACGCGTTTGTCTTTTAGCCCGCTGGTGTGCCCCCACCCTGCTGCTGGGAGGTTATTTCTGAAGAGCGCGTTGTCGCTTGCCTCCACCCCAGCGATCCCCGGTACCACCCACCGACCCCCGCTGCTGCCACCGCAACACACCGTGCCGGAGTACACCCTACCCAGAATTAGCTTCTGTATCGGGGGCAGCATCAGAAACTCACCCCGTAGCTCAGCATGTCCATGCTGCTTTCTTCTCTTCAGCTTACATTCTAAACACACTTTTGGAAACACGCTAAAAAGCCAAATTCCTCTCAATATGAAATCCCGCTGATTTGAGAGAAGGCATACAACAGATTGATCTCTTCCATTCCTAGTAGACAGGGACTTCTGTACCGAGTAAGATTATTTTCTTTTGATAGTCTCAAGACAGAAATTCAACATTAGCATGACCAGTATCAGGAATAATAAGGCACATGTTAATTAACATACTAAAATTTCAAGTACTTATCATCCAGTGAAAGGATGAAGAGGCAAATGCTGTGGCTCATGCTGTAGCATGCAGTCACCCTCTATAACTGACCATCCCACTAGGGTTATCTTGCCTGCCTGCAGAAAGCCCGGCAGATACCAGGACTCACTACTCTGAAGCATACACCTGTGAACAATTAAACCTTGAAGTATCTTGAATGTACATTTCGGTATCTTAACAGCAGAAGTAGATGATTTGTCTTAAGGTTTGTATTGGTTTGTTGGTTTCTTTTTAATTACTTAAAAGCAAGATACAGTATTCAAGAGAGAAGGCAGGTAAGTGTCCCACCAAAAGGCAGGGTGACTTTTTCCTTTCCACCAATTGGTACTACATAGAAACAGTAAAAACCACAGGGACTCAAACACACCCAAACCCAGCACTAACAGAACCTTGAGTAAGCTCTGCCAATGAAGCTCAAACCCCAGACTGCCTCTTCAGCCTTCTAAGCCTCTCTGAAAGCTCACTGAAATGTTGGCCAACATGTAAGTACTTCCCCAGCCATAACAGTAAAGGAGGCTAGCCCAAGCGAACCCTTATGAAAATTAGAAAATGTAACACCAGGTATTTGAATGGGGAAAAGAGTATACATTTACACTGAAAGAAAAAAAAAAAGTAGCAGTACAGGAAAGTTGGCCAGACAAACCAGTCAATGAATATCTTTGTATGAGACAAAATATTGATGGAATATGCCAGTACAGCTCCATCACAAGTCAATTATCCTGCTTGGTCTGCAATGAACATTTGTCTACAGCATCATTTATTTCCCTATTCCTATCTTTGTACTTCCGTTTAGCAACTTTGCATTTGGTAGCAACTGACAGCAGTAAGTTGGGTATCACTGATATCTGTAATAATAGTGTTATCTAGACTCGCTTTACTCTTTTTAAACTGAGCCTTCAATCACAAAATACAAATTCTTCCACTCTGGCAATTTAGGCAGAACCCAGGGCTTCTTGGACTCCTCAATTTAAAGCAAAACTTACCTGAAATCAATCCAGGTAAGGGATGTGTAGCAGCCATTAATAAGTCATATTTTCCAAGGAAGTTTATAAAATATTAACAAACAGCTAACTGCTTTTACAAACAAATACAAACACTGCTTGTTACTAAAGAGTGTCAGCACATCCATAAGTGACATAAAGGTTTGAAAAAGAGATGGCTCATGTGTCTCACAGGCCTAATAGGTTGCTTATAACAACACATAACTGATTAACCTTTTATTACAGTAACTATGAATAGTTCATTAGCCCTTGGCTCCCAACAGTTTTCTGATCATGCTTAAAATATAATTTCATCTATAACGACATTGTCCTACTACCAAAACTGCACACCTCAACAGCAGAACAGTAATTCCCTGTCTTCTTATGTGAGCCTTGATTTTACTGAAGCTAGTGTTAAAACTCAATTTGAGTTTTTTCATAGCACAATCTCCAGATGCCTTAATATATTAAAAATACGCTTGCTTTCATGTCTCTGGTAATAATACTCTGGACTAGCCTCTTTACCAGTCTTTTATGAGTTTATACTAAGTTGGATGGATCCAAGTGTATGCTTATTAGAAATTGGTTGATTTTATCATTTGGATTTATTGCCTAGTATTACAGTCCAGATGAGACCCCTTCATGCAAGGCGTAATACAAATACATAAGCAGTTCACTTTGATAATTTATGTGGAACAAATGCAGGAAAAGGAACAATGGGAAACTAGAAATGCTGCCAGACTCACATTATAGTCAGTCATGATAAAAACCCTGAATGGCTCTTTTTTTGAACATTTAAATTATAGGGGAGCACAAGGTCCATGAAATTTGTTCTCTTAAATCACAGTGGTGTTTTTGAAAGTTCTATTTCAGGTGTTTAAGCTTGAGGCAGTACAATCTTCTGCACGGGTCATTAAACTAGGTGTCTGATTTTACCTGTACCCTGATACCAACCTGCTGTGTCATGCTATGCAGATTATTTCACTTCTGCTTCACTCTAGATACGGGAAAAAATAATTTCTTCCAATGTTTATGTATCACAGGTATAGGTATGGATTGCCCCAAACTACTCTACTGTAACAAAACACCATTTCAACCAATGCTGAGGAAATACTAATCTCATAACCTTGTAAATCCAGCTGCCACTTATCTTGCGTTAGTGTTCTGAAGGGAAAGTAATTCAATTAGTATTTCTTACCTATCCCTGCAGTTCAAGGAAGGGAAGTGTTGAAAACAAAAGAAAAAAGATGTGTTTAAGAACTACATTTTTATTTGTGAATTTTGATGTGGGCCACAACATTTTTAATATAACTATAAATAATAGAGGGACTTTGTAGAAAGCAGTAGCAGAACATCAGAACCAACAGTATTGACATCCCATTTTACAACAGGTTTCTTACACCTTGTCAGAAATCAGTGGAAAAGCTTAACTCCTTAACATTATTTTGATTGTATTCTATTCAGATTCTTAACTGAAATCCCATTAGTTTGTGAAGATATAATCTACATTATTCGCTAGTCTGAGTATATTTTCTTCTATTATTCCTTCCCTCTCACCCATGATGATCACATCTTTCGTTTGGAAAGACGATAAAAAATATTCCAAAGGCACTCAAGAAAGCAACACAGCGTTTTACACTGTGGGGAGAAATGATCAAGTACATGTAGAAAAGCCTGAATTACTCTGAGTAGGTGATTTCTTTTTTTTTTGAGGCTCCAGTGTCTGGGTCTGCACACACAAATCAAGACCTATCCATCTCTTGAGCAGGATTACCCCTTCTGCAGGTGAGCTCTTCCCAGCAGCTCAAGTTATAAAGCTGGGGGCTTTTCAGCTCCCCAAAAGAGGCAGCTTTCTGTATTTTGAAGGTTAAAGGTGATGAGTTTGGCCCCCAGGGAAGTGATCTGATTATCTTTGGTATCTGTTGTCCCTAGGCATCTCTCTCACTAAATTTAAATCAATCTTTGGGTCCATATCTGCTCTTCCTTTTCTGTTATTTCCTACCATCTTGCCCATCCCCCAGTGTAAAATAAGCCACTTTTAAGTTTGCAGTAGTTCTGTTACACATGATCCTTTGTGACATTTTCATGAATAATCAGTTCATTTAGGTTAGGCAGGGCTCCTCATTTTTCACTGCTTGGCAAAGACTGCTCAGCAAAGCATCAACTACAGTGACATTCAGCCCTGTGTCAGTATACATCAGCCTCCTAAGGAGAAAAGAAAGTCTGTGCCCAACTCACAGGCATTCAGTGGGTTTTGGATAACTAACACCCATAAAGCATCCTTTCCAAATCTTTCACCTGGCACTGACAGGAAGAAGTGAAACAACACAGCAGATACAGAAACAACAGAGAGGGTGTACTATTTTAAGGTGAAAACTGATCTTGTCTTCTGGATTGAGCTCTCATTGCAATGAGAAAAAACCTCATGCAAATGGGGCAGCAGGAACATTGAAATGACTAACAGAAACTTACGAACAAGAGCAACCTGCAAGAGACATCGGCACAAGGGTACATGTTGTCTTCTCCTTTATTACCAGACTCATGCCTTAGATGTTTGCCATTCCCTTTATACAGTTGCTAAAAAATTTATGTCTGTATTTTTTGTTTCTGAATGACATTTTCCATTCTCAGTGTTTGCCAGGCTTACCCTGTCCATTTGTTCTTCCAAAATGTTTTTCTATCCAAAACATCAAAAATAACTTTATAGTTCCATTCATCTCTCTGCTATGCTGTTTTATTAGTTACTTATGTGCATTGGTATGATTTATGTTTTTCTCTGCGCTATTTATTTCCTGAAAAACTCTCAGTTAATCTATCCCAAGGGAATCATGTATGACCATAATTCACTCGTATGAGTAAAAGAGGCAACATATGGTCCTTTGCAAATGGCATGTCTACAGCTACTCAGAGAAGCATTATGTTCTGTTCTTTTCAAAGTTGTCATGTGTCTACTCCCCACCCCCCCAATGACAACTCTGTCCCCAAGCAACTTAAAGTGTCTTCATTTTGGGGGTGTTAAACCTCAGATACATTTGAAACGGATTTCCAGAGATCACAGCCCACTCAGTCTCTGAATCTTTGTATGTTCAGGCAAAAAAAATAGTAAACACTAAATCATTTGTGATATAGAAAAATTTTCCTTTCTCAACCCAGTTCTCAGTGCTGATTTTTCTATCTTT